TTCAATGTGATGCTGTGGCTAGTAAAGTGAACAAAACGCTGGCTTGCATCCATAGATGCTTCTCAAGCAAATCCCAGGGTGTCATTCTCCCATTGTACTCGGCCTTGGTGAGGCCACAGCTGGAGTACTGCCTCCAGTTTTGGGCTTCACAATTCAAAAAGGATGCAGAGAAGCTTAAGAGAGTCCAGAGAAGAGCCACGTACATGATCAGAGGTCAGGAAAACAGACCTTACGATGACAAGCTGAGAGCTATGGGACTCTTCAGCCTGGAAAAGTGCAGGCTCGGGCGATCTGATGGCCACCTGTAAGTTTATCAGGGGTGTTCACCAGGATCTGGGGGAATGATTGTTCACCAGATCCCCCCAAGGGATGACAAGGTTGATTGGTTATAAACTCCTGCAAGACCGTTTCAGGCTGGACATAAGGAAGAATTTCTTTACTGTCTGGGCCCCAAGGTCTGGAATAGCTTGCCACTGGAGGTGGTTCAAGCACCTACTCTGAATGCCTTCAAAAGAAGATTGGATGTTTATCTTGCTGGGATCCTGTGACCCGAGCCTACTTCCTGCCCCTGGGGCAGGGGGCTGGACTCAATGATCTTCTGTGGTCCCTTACAGCCCTAATGTCTATAAGTCTATGCAATCTATGAACAGGTCTCTTGCCACCTGGATACAGGTGAGAAGGTCAACATTATATACTTAGACTTTCAAAAGGCTTTTGAGCTAGTATCCCACAATATCCTTGTGGAAAATTGGAAGATTGTGGGCTTAACTGCTCAACAGTTCAGTGGGTGGAAAACTGGCTGCATGGTAGGACCCAGAGAGTTCTTATGAATGGATCTGTGTTGTCCGGGCAAGAAGTAGCCAGTAGTTTCCTGCAGGGGTCTGTGTTTGGACCAATGCTTTTCAACATCTTTATCAATGATTTGGACATTGGGGTGCAAAGCTCACTGGAGGATGACACCAAGTTATGGAGGAGCATGGTCATGCCAGAAGATAGGTTGCAGATACAGGTGGACCTGGAGAGGCTGGAGAGCTGGGCAGACGAGAACCAGATGAAGTTCAACACTTAGAAATGTACGGTGTTCTGCCTGGGGGCAAACAATCCCCAACATACCTACAGGCTTGGTGGTGACAATTTGATTTGCACCATGGCTAAAAGGGACCTAGGGATAGTGATTAACCATTGGCAGTGTGATGCAGACCATGGGGGCAGGGGTGGGGGGGATTGTTTGAAGGTTAGGGAACTAGATTTTCTACACTGGGCAAAAAGAGTTGTTGCTCATATGTGGTGAGTGACACTGGGGAGGGGGGCACCTGCCTGTGCAGAATGAGGCCCCTTGGTCTGTGGTCTTCTTTCTAGAGCTGTTTTTAGCTCAGAAGTTGAAAAGTTCTGCTTTATCAGACCACTGCTATATGTTTTTTGCTGCGGGGGGGGGAAGGGAGGTTGTTGTTGTTTTGGGGATTTTTTAGGGGTTTTTTGGTTTGTTGGCTGGTTGATTTGCTCATTTGGCTTGTTCAAGAAGCTCATTCTCATAGAAAGGAAATACAAAATAATTTCAGCTGAATGGAAATGAATGGCAAAATCAGTTTCCACAACAGCAATTATACCTCAGTATTCTTTCTGGGGGAAAAATGGACAATTATGACTTAGGCCTAGATCCACAAAGAGATCTTAGGCATAATGTTGTGACAACATGCTTTTTGGCACTTTGTTACCTAGGGGAATCCAAAGGTCTTAGCTAGGCATTCAGATTCCCTATACAATGCATGTATAGGTGTTGAGTGCCATAGACTGCAAAAGTCAGCATGCTGAAATATCCAAGCTAACCAGAAGGAAACAATGAAGACAGGAATGTGGCTTAAATCTTATCTCTTAGAGTTGGGTCCTTCACTCCAGGCTGAAGGAATGTGCCTCCCTCCACCTGGGATGAACGCATTTCCAGAGACAAATGCTAAGATAGTTCATTTCTTTAACACAAAAGAGAGTGAGGAGATAGGTCCTTTTCCCACTGCTCTCACATCCCGGGTGAATGCCCTAGCAACCAGCTCATAGAGTTACTCTCCCTCTTTCCAATGTCCTTGCTCATTGTATAATTATTTATACAGAGTAAAATATCTTCACCAGGAAACCTGAGAAAAATCCACTGGCTAGGGTGGTATCCTCTGAGGGAGGACATATGGGGCACCTACACATGTGCCTGACACCTGCTCTAATGTGTTCTAATTAGCATGCGTCAGAGCAGACTCATCGAATTGAGTCTGCTGGAGCATGGTAACGAGTGCACTCAAGCAGCCTCGGCATCATATGTATTCAGGGTCCCCACACTTCAAAATAGCAGCCAGGAGTCCTTTAAAGCTCATTAAAGCTCAACTTAAAGCTCCTCTGCCACCAATTTGAAGCATGGGACACTGAATTCACAAGATGTTGTGGGCATTTTAATTACAGCAGCTCCCGAGATCTGCTCTAATTAAAGCACCTTCCCTCTCCCCACCCCTGAGCACATGTAAACACAACCATGGGTTTTAAATGCAGGCAAAGAGATTGATTTCATGGACAGTGTTCTAACGGCTGAATCAATGGGTAAAATTGCATACATCCTGAATAACAATGTTTTCCAATCTGAAAAGCACATATTGAAAATAACCAAAACAGAGTGTGGATTACCTAGTTGATGAATCCCATGAAGATTTAGACATCAAAACTGGATGGTTGTGTACAAACCCAACAGCAGAACTGTAGACACCTATGGGACTTTAAGGGGGTAAATTAAATACCTAATGTAGGTTTCTCTAGGATTAGCCCCTGTCCTGAAAAATGGTGGCGGGGGCACTTTAAGTAAAACTCATTCAATGAGATTTAGTTCAAAGTGCCCCACCACCATTTTTCAGCATGGGGATGCTGATACACATGATGCTTGGGGCATTTTTAATTAACATGCTAATTAAAGCCCCCCCACACACACACACACACCTCCCAGAGCACATCTATAAATGCTCTTAGGTCCCTTTGAATTAACCCTTAGTTCTTTACTACCTAGTACAAATGTGTGGTTATCATCTTAAGCCCCTAATCTACAAATATTTATGAATGGATAAATACTTTCCATCAAAGGTATTTCTACTGATAACTCTTACACACTTACTGTGTTTGTAGTATCGTATGATAGCAAGCAAGCCTAGTTTATAGAAGATTTTCCACTCTCTTTAACTGCTGAGTCAAATAAGTCTCATTTACTTAAGATTGTTGTATTTATTGAACACATCTTCTTCTACAATAAATTTAGGAAAGGAACTCCTAGATCAGAATAAAAAGGAATAATAGCTTTATAAGGCAAAGGTCTAGACTTGGAAAGAGACATGCAGGAGTGATTGAGAGTCTAACTTTCTAAGACTGAAAATGATCAGAGGAAAAAACCCCAAAAATATAAATCCTGACCCCAATAGTTCTTCTTCTCCATATTAACTTTATGTCATTGAATTGATATCATAGATCAGTTGATCTCTGGCACAAATAGCTGACAAGGCAAAAGTTACATCCAAGTGTTTTTTGTGAGGTAGTATGTACTACTTAAATCTTTTCAGAGATCTAGCATGATTACGAGCTTTTAGAGAGTTGTCAATGATATATAAGCTATGGCCAAATTTTCTTTTACAGGAATATGCACTATACTACATGTGTTAAAGACACATGCTTTTTAATGATTAAGTGGGTCATTTCTACATTTTCCATCCAAGAAAAAAAATCTCAGCCACATTTTTTTTTTGTGCCCATCACTCCTAATCATGAAACCTTAAAAATTGTGTACAGACAACCATAGAATAAACTGCTGGTGTACAATATAACTGTACGGATATGGGGGAGGATCTGATATGGGGTAACAGGAGTCTGGTTTCTCATTTTTTGTTCAGCAGCATGTTGGAATTATATTCTAACCATTTCTAACCCTGAAGCTAATAAAGGAAGAATGTCATTATATAAAGGGGGGCATTATTCTCCCAACTTTCTATACCAGGTTCAAGGATTTTCTTTAGAACTGCTTGGAATTTGGCCAGTTAAACACTTTTTTTTGCTGGAAAATGTTGCTGGAAAATGCTGATTAAATCAAAACTGTCTGCAGGTAATAATTTGTTTCAAAAAAATTCCATATAAAAATCTTTGGTAAAAGTTTGAAAGTTCTTGGATACCCCATTTTGACATTTTAATCCAGGTTTTGGGGGGGTTAAGGTTCTAAGCAATTGTTTATTTTAAAATTCTAGTTCAAAATTTTAAAATTTAAATGCATGCTAAAAAACCTTAGTATGGCATACTAACATATATTAGATTTTTAGAAACCCATTTATTCAATGTTATTATGTGTTAGGATTTTCTGTTCAAGGAAATTTTCAGGATTTCAAATTCTCATCCCAGTTGAGGATGGGTCAAATTGTTGAAATTTCAAATGTTCTTCAAGGATGGAGAAAACATTCCCCAATCAACTCAGATTCTTTTCTTCGCTCCTCTATATCAGCGGCTAGATAGCAGTTTGTGGAGAACAGTATAAAGGCAGTACTGCAAATGGTTTTGAAGATACAGTGGGTACCTAAAAACTCTAAACACTCAGCATTTTCAGCAAAGGGTGACTGAGATAATCTTTCCCTGGCTGGAAAATACAGAAATGTCCCACCAGGATAAAATGTATTTATTTATTTTTAAACAAAACCCTGTCTAAATATCAAGGAAGTATATCTTACATGTAATCACCAGTGCAAGTGCCATACAATAAGCCTTACTTAAACCTTAGTTTTATATAACTAGGTACACTCCAGCTTGTATAATCACTATGCTCTCTACCACTAAAAACAATCTAAATTATGGCAAATATGGGACTGACAGGAAAAATTAGCATTCTCATCTTGTAAGTAAATGCAATACTCACCCATTAAAGTTAAAATGTGCCCTGCACAAAACTGGCTTACAGAATCAGACCCTCAATACAAAATTAGTTATTATCTATAACTTACCATCTCCAGTTTCAGCGCAGAGTTGCAAACCTAAATTGTTCTGTGGGTTAATCACCCAATGATTGCTGGTCACAGTGATATCAAATACAAGCCAGCCCACATCCAGAGCTTGAGCCTTTCTTGTGTCTAACAGGAACAGGTCTGCATCCCTAATTTAAAAACAAACGGCTGAAGGTTAGGACATAACAAAATCATTGTTTCCTGTGCTTCCTCACAGCAATCTCTCAGAATACAAATGGGCAGGGAGGCTTAGCTCTTTGATGGGCCTTTCTTGTAACTGTATTGGTATATCAGAGGGTTTCTCATGACTATGGACTGTCTGAAATGCTGACTGATAAGGCCAAATTTCATTCATCTTTATGTGCCTTAGTGCTACTTATACATCAAAATGTATCCAAGTGTTATGTCATTACATATGCAGATTTCAGGGTCTATTTCCATTTGCTGTGCCGGTTTTGCACTTGTCCTTCTCAGCGTGCTCAGGAGACTCACCATGGACATATGTGGTCTGTGAGGGACTACGATTGCTCAGGTAGGTATGTAACTGTGTGCAATTTCCTGAAAGTGTGGTTGGAGAAAAACCACAACTAGCAACACTGGAGGAGAAAAGAGGCCCTCCACCTTTTAGCTCAAGAGCCTATTGGCTAGGGTACTTCCCCAGGGTCTGGCAGACCCAAGTTGTAGGCTTTTCTCACCTACAAGAGGTTTGGACCTTCTTTTCCCACTTCTCAGCAAATTACTCTAATCACAAGGCCATGGCCGGGGCACCCTCCAACCCACTTCTTGAAGCTGTTCCATTGAGCAGTCAAAAGGGAAAATATGCAAAATCAGGACAGACCCAGTGACAGGGAGAAGGGGCTGGGGAGGAGACATGGCTCTGAGCACAGAGGGTAAGAGACAGGGAGAAGTCTTTGTTACTTCAGGGACTTACAAAAACTCTCCAGCTGCTGCTCCTGCAGCATTGACTGAAAGGAGTCAATTTGCCCTTGAGTCAGTAGGAGGAAGGTAAGCCAGAGGGAAAGTGGCTCAGTAAAAGCAACATTGCCCTGGAAAGCAGGGGATCCTGGGCTTTTGCTCCAGGCCTTCCCCCTACTCCAGTGTTGCTTATCCATTTTTTCAAATAAATATTAATGGCTGGTACAGAAAATCCCATGAGTACAAAATGGCTTTTCTGCACTTTACATACAATAGGAGATATGGGCTGGAACACCTCCCTTCCAGCATCCTCAGGCATACCACAGTGCTCTGTGCACACTGGGTCCCAAAGCAGAATCTATGTAGTGAAGTCTGCGCAACACCAGGGCAGGCTAAGTACCACTACTAAGTTACAGTGCCAATTAGCCTGCTCCCAGCACAGTGCAGAGATGGTTAAATAATTTTTGAGTTCCAGTTCTAGATCCTCTTTCCAATGTTTGAGGACAATTTTGCCATTGTGGTTCAGCGGCAGAGTCTTTGTCTGCCAAGTAGGAGTCCTGGACATGCAAAAAACTATAGCCATGGAGGCACTGAATATCTGGACTTGGTCTGGCCTTTGGATACTGTTTCAGTGGTCTAAAGGGTGAATGAAAGATCTGGGCAGCCTCCAATCTTGCATACTCCTGCCTAGGTGTACGTGTTGAAGATCCTAGTGACCTGTCATGCATGCACCATAATCCTGAAAGACTGACAGTTGTGTACTACTATTATCTATTAGTAGATACTGCTACTATCTTAATATGACCAAAGTGTTTAGCTAGATAGTCCTGATAACTTCAGGGAAGCATTTTTTGTAACTCTTCAGCATAGATCACCTTTTTGTTCTGTGTTAATAAAGGGCCTAGCATAATAGGGGTCCAATCCACGACCAGCACTCCAAAACACTACTGTAATACAGATAATATGATCATATACAAGTTTACTTTCTTCAGAGCGGTGCGCTTGTTCTTATCAAACTTTCTTCTCACTGTTTATTCTTGTTACTAATAATCTTCAGCATAAGAAATGGATTGATGTTTTCTGCCATTATTAGTCACCAAAACATCATTTAAAGAAAAACATCTTATTTAAAATAGCAATTGTTTCACAATGGTAAATGAGTCACAGCAGGCTTGACCCATTCCTCTATATTATTAAGCACAGAACAAACAAAGGTTTTAGGAAAATAGGTTACAGTTGACAATGAGCTTATAAAACAAACCCATTAAAATGATGGTGGCCTCAGACAAATGCTACTGCATCCTTCATGCACAAAGATGTTACAATGGCAGTGTAAATAGTAACTACCCATGACTTGCTACTCATTTTTAGATGTAAATGCAGGCTTGGGTCCTACAAATGCTTACACGTGTGAGTAATTTCTGCATCTGTGATCCTCAGTTTTTAAGCCCCTGCAGTACTTGTAGTAGTCAATGGGATCAACAAGTTTCAGCAACTCTGAACATGAGACTGACTGAGCTTAAAGAAACTACATACACATGTATTCTAGTGTGCAAATGTTCAAAGGATTAGAGATAGAAAAATATGATTATGGTGAGGAGATTGCCATTTGAAAACAAAAAAACACTTAATTACATTTTGTAATTCTCCCCATTGTCTCTGTTAAGTTACACTTGCAGTGGTGACATTTTTGTACTATGTTCCTATCTAATCTATTATAGTGGAAATGTGTTAATGGCCACACAAGAAGAAAATGTACTGCTCCCTCTGGGTATAACTAACATGAAAACAATCATACAATTCAAGAGACCCTGACCTGCTACTCAAGAATTGAACAAATTAACAACGCACCACAAGCTCATAAACAGTACTCTCTAGAGCCAAATTTTTTTCTCTAATAAGCAGTTTTACCAGAACTTTAAAAGTTAAAAGTCTAGCTGTAAATGGGATACTCATTTAAGATGATTATTTATCAATAATTCATTATCCGTCAGTAACAAATGTGCCCAAAGGAACATTTATGTAAACTCATTTGGAGGACAGATATTTTATATTCTACAGCGTTTTAATTTTGGGGCAAGAGATGGGGGAGCAGAGATTGGACAAGATGACCTGGGAGCACCCTATGGGAACCTATGCATGAGTGCAGAGGCTGCTCTGACACACTGGAAATCCTGAGCGTTGGAGCTTACTTGATTAATTGAGTCTTCTGGAGTGTGGCAGTTACCTCCTGCGCCTCATGTACCAGCATCCCCATGCTTAAAAATGGTGGTAGGAGCACTTGAACTAAAGCTCATTGAGCAAGCTTTAATTCAAGCATCCCTGCTGCCATTTGTAAGTGCGGGTATGCTGATACAAGAGACATAGCAGCACTTTCCCGCACCCCCACTGCACATGTAAAAGTACCCTATAATAAATTACTCAACATAGTAAACATGCAAACAGGAAAAATGTTTAGTGAAAACGGGTTTTGTAGTAAGTTTTAAAAACAAACAAATTTGAAACAACTTTAAACTGATAATAAATGTCCCAGTAGTTTCAGACAGACTTCATACAAAGGAGTCTATGTTATAATGCCTGTTAAAAATGTTTTTCTTTAGAACTCACACTAGCATTCAAATTTGCTGTCCTTGCAAAAAGGTCCATTGTACAGGGTTTGGACTTCACCTTTTATCTTTGCACCATTGCTCATTGTATATTTGTATTTTTACTGTCTGATCCTCAAAGCTGATGGCTTCTATACTAATGATGAAATAAAATCCCAGCTTTGGACTGGTACCAGAAAAAATCCAAAACATGTCCTCAGATACATCCCTTCAAATGTCAATTTGTTCAGTGCCTTCACATATAGGAAGAGAATAAGGCCTTATAATGGGTCTAGACCCCAAATCATTATTAGGGGCAAATTTTCCAAAAAGAGTTTTGGCCCAGCAGCAGTTTCAGAGCTGGACAATTTAACTTATTCTGCTTATACCACTGCAACAGACATGAACACAGCTACTCTTTGGGATTGGTATTTCAACCTTTCCTCATGCAAGGTGATCAAGTAATGTAACTGGATCCAACAGATTGATTATTCTTCCCCTTTGGTTTGGCAGATGAACAAATAATTCATTTTAGGAAACTACAGAAAACTAGAAATGATGTCTCAAGGGTCTGGTAATAAGATATAGAGCCTTTCACTTCTGGATCTCTGTTAGGAATGTAGCCCAGGTCAACAGAACTTCCTACAGAACTGCAAAATATTTACAATGAAAAAGGAGGTTACTTATAACTTGATTTTTTTCTCAGTTTGTTACAAATTCAGGATGATATCCTGTATTCCAATGAAGTCACTGGGAAAGCTGCCATTAATTTACATGGGGCCAGGATTTCACCCTTCACTTGAGACCACTGAACCCAACTGTGCACCACATTTTTTATTAATTTTCTACCTCAAAATGCTCCATTATTGACTGAAAAGCAACATTGGGTGCATTGTGAATGAAAAGCAGAATTGGAATGCAGCTCCAAATATGTAAAATTCATGTTTCCTATAAAAGAGTAGCTAACCATATGTAAAGAAAAAAATTAAATGATATGAAGTAGCCTGAAATGGAAACTTAACATCTTTATACAGAATTTAAGTGAAAAAAAAGGTTGCCGTATTAATGTATCTCCAGGAACTGCAGAAGGATTTTCCCTGTGTAAAGACTATTGATTATCTACGTGAAATGAGTTTGGTGGTCTTAGTCCACTCCCTTGGGGTCAGCTGTCCACAACAAAAAAGCCAATAAACCCAGGAATCTCAGGAAAGAATGTATGCAGCTCCATATCTTATGACTTTGCTCAGCAAAGAGCGTGGTTGGGGAGATAAAGGCAGTAAAAAGGCTGCCTTTTACTTTCTTACCCCTTGATTGTGGAAAAGATTTGTTCCAAACCAGATCATGACCACTTTGAAATTACACAGAGCTGTCTTCCAAGTGCTCCTTTATCTCCAGCTTCACACCATCATCTGAAGGAGCTGCCATGGCATCTTTATGCTGTCTGAGAATTCCCTAATGCAAGATGAATTAAGCTGAGTTAAGATGATGGCTGTCTGCTAGCAGACTTTGACTAAGGAGGTATTCCATATAAATGTGACTTCCAGAACTAGAAACAGCCAATCCACCTCAGGCTAGGAGCACATTGGCAGGAATGCATAGGACAGTTTGCATTGCCATTGGTTCTGCTTCACATATTCTTGGATTAAATAGAAACATCAATGTCTACTGCTGTCATTCAGCAAACTCCAAGTGAATTCAATTTACTTATGTTAGTGGCACACAGCCATTGACAGAATAATATCTGAGACTACAAATAATCATTCCCGAGCAACTAAAATCTAGAAGATCTCACTTCTTATGGTCAAAAGGTATGAGATGTCCCAGAATTTAGGACCCTTTATCAAACATCCCCCCACCACCCATCACTTTCCAAGCTGAAATAGAAGTCACTCTGCTGACTCCAGATGACGCAATATAACACAAGAATACAGGTTTTTGAGGTTGGCAAGAGTCAGTCTGAGGCCCTGTGTGTCAATAACAATGTCTAGCTTCACTCAGAAACTAACTGATCAATGTAGCTACTGCGTATTAAGCAATAAGCAACTGCAATTATCTTTATAACATCTAGTCCCATATGACCAGTACAACCTTTAGATGGTAGAATAATGAATCACTCTAATGAGGTCTACACTCAAAAACAAAGGATATACTTTTTTTTGCCAAGCACAAATGATAAAAACATTTTGGGCAACTGTTGCTACCTGGACATCTAGAAGCAGGTGAGAGACCAACAAACTGTCCAGGTTTCAAACCTAAGTAATGTACATCAGCCAAGATGAACTTTGGATGTAGCTTGTGAACCTTTCCCAATTCTACTGTCCAGCTTGTCCCCCTGAGACATCCGCCTGTACACACTCAATTAAACATTCAAGACTAGCAAGACCATCAGCATCGAGAGTTTGTATGTTCATGAACCTAACATAACTGAAGACTTTGAAATTTGTATGGCACATCTACATGTTGCCCTACAGTGATGTTGTTATGGCGCCGTGGTTTAGTACTTCCTTTTGAACTAAGGATGTACTAAAGCATGGTGCAGTAACTGCCTGTACTGTTCCGTGCGCACAACACATGGTTAGTTTTCGCCACTACTTTGCCATAGCAGCGCGCTAGAACAGGGGTGCATGCTGCTACAGCAAAGTAGCTGCCAATCACGTGTAGACTCACATGATCACTACATCATGACATCACTGTAACATGTTGTACAGTGACATAGGGCAACATGTAGATATGCCCAGAGATCAGCAGACTATCATACACTGTAGCTATTACATAGAAGGTATGCTTATTCTCACAGTAGCAGGTTTGGGTACTTGTTAGACATTCAGATTAATTTCAGAGCACTAGAAGTTTTTCCTCTCTCCAGTGGAGTAATTTGTTAGGAAACAGTTATTGAAAAAATCCAGAACATCAAAAAATTACCCCTTACCATTACTTCTTCAACAATCTTTTTGGGTTAGAGACAAAGACTTTATTTCATTGACACCTTGATAGATATCTACTTAAAAAATACACTTCCCTTAGGCTCTCCACCCCTTCACAGCCTCTTTTCAGAGCCTACTGTTGCAGTACTTTTAAATGGTTTTGCAAGTTGGATCCCCATTCATGTAGTGTGGCCCTAGAAGGGCTGTTCTGGATTAAGTTGCTTTTAATCTCTTTTGACTTGATATAAACTTGATATAAAATCCCTAAATATTCACTGGGCCAGCAGGAGACAGTACAAATATCTTTACAGCCTAGTGGTTAAGCTTCCCTGTAGGAGAATAAAGATAGAAGAAATCCCATCAAGCAGAGGAGGGATTTTAACCCTGTCTTGCCATATCCTGGATAAATGCCTAACTCCAGATTTTTACCAGTATTTGGTAAAAGGTGGGAACTTTCACCAGATATTCTCCTCCTTGCTGGGGGGGGTTTTGGGGGTGGG